AGCGCCGTCGAGAAGTTGTGCTTCAAAACCTTTGTATTCCATAGAGCAGTGGTTCTCGATCACTGAAGTTTCGCGGACCCTTTGTGAATCGGCGGATAAGACGGTGGACCCCCTTCGGGAAGAAAGGAAGGGAAACTTATAGGTTAATTAGGATATTGATTTAATAACTGAATATAGCTAAGGGCTAGTGTAAATGGATGTTTCTCAATGACACACACACGAGAAAACTCACCCGAAAATTGGAACGTTTCTTTTGAATCTGAAAAATACAGCTTTTATTGCCGGGCTTGACTGATGAGGCATGGCTTCGGGGACACCTAGAATGCCTTCGCGGACCCCAAAGTGTCCGCGGGGCCCCATTTGAGAGTCACTGCCATAGAGGGCACTGTACCCATGAACGGAAGCGAGTTGAACGACACGAGGCGGGCATTGGGGAATATGGGGGCACTGCCCGTGGAAGCAGCTTCTATGGCAGTAGCTCATATCTGAGCTCAGCCAGTGACGTTGGCTCCAACGTACCTAGTGTATTCTGCCATTTTTTGTCTCCCCCTTTGCCCACACGGGGTGCGGGTCAAAGAACGATGTTTTTAATTGTATCTAAAATTTTATCACCGAACGTGTTCAGTCGGAGTGTTTAACAAGAAAAACCTTTAAAGTATTATACGAAAACGTAGCACCTAATTTCCCCGCTAAATATTTTGGAAATATTTTTTTTTTGTTATAATTATACACCAATTCCATTTCCCACTAAAGTTATCGGGAAACGCTTCCAGTTGAGGTCTTAAATCTTCGAAACATGAAACTTTTAAATTCTACCATCAGTTTTATTATAAATATCGAACACCTTAAAATATTTTTTATCTGTTCACTTTGCGTCGTGGTAAAAGCCACATGAGCATTTCATACAAAAACCTCTAGGCGTAACGCATTTATGGTTTTGAATGAAATGCTCCCGTGGATTTTAGAAAAACTAAAGCTCTAATATTTTAATGCCGACAGTTATGGTTACAGTTAAGCAGAATACAGCAAATAGTGTCATTGAATAACACGTAACAAAATGTCAATTCTCTATACAGCAAAAACGTGGCGAAGAATTATGGAAATTCCGTGGACGTCAGAACACAAGGTACGAAACTTTTAACTATCCGCGCTAGACGTTTTAAATAATATAACAAAAAATAACTAGAAAAAGTGAGGATAGTAAGAACCGGAGACAAGGATATAGACGAAGGAAAAAGAAAGGGTAATCGAAAGAAAAAAGACAAAATCATTCTTGTAATAGAATAAGGTAGCATATCATATGTTTTCTGTGGCGCAGGTTGATGTAGCAAAAAAACGATTTTCCGACCTGGCACCAGCGTTGCGGAATGGGCACCCGAATTCCATTCCAATTCTATTCCAGGGAATTAGAGATTCCAACTATTCTACTGCTGTCAACTCCTCGGAATGAAAACGTTGCACCCGTTCTCATTCCTGGAATGGCTGAAATCTTCTATTCATTCCTTTAGTTTCTAAACGTGAAAAAAAGGGCGATTGACAGCCACACTCTGATGTTGAGAAAGAGCAGCATAAAGCTGCTGACCTTATAAAACGGGGGACGACTGAAAAAGTATGGAAAAGCTTTCTGAAGTCATTCCCTTTCAGTAAACAGAAGGGCGGTCGCACAAAGCGCTTCGTGGCACTTGGAAGTGCGGCAGCTACCAAGCGTAGAAATTCTTGGTGGTGGAACAGACGCCAAAAATTAAAACCACCCATTTTCTTCTCGAATGAACCCCATACCCGCAAAAGGTACCTAGTTAGCATGTTGTTTGTTTGATACAACGTTCAACACGTTCAACTAATTTTCTTTACCAAGGAATTCAAGGAAATTATGGGATCTCGTAAATGAACTAATTGGTAGAAAAAGAAAAAATAACATTGAAGATGCGATAAGAAATAACTTTCCCAGTTTAAACAACGACATGGAACTGGCCCGGTCTTTCAATACCAGTTTTATTACTACTGTAAAAGCCTTAAAGTAGAATATAATGCGGCATGTAAAAAAGGCTGGCTGAACAGGGGAATTCTTAACTTCAGCGCACTTATCAGAACTATACAAACACGAATTGTTCTATATTATCAATTCATTTTCAATTACAAAGATACATGGAGAGATAAAATTCATGTACGGGATTTAAAGTATGCCACAGTGAAAAATGACCTTACTTAAAATTATCAATGGCTGTTTGACAACGGGTGAACTACCAGAAAGGCTGAGTACCAATAGTAAGACGGCTTTGTAAATATGATAATAATAAAGAAGTTGCAAGTGATGGACCCTTGCGTATCTATATTATATGTGATCGGTCACATCCAAGAGAAATAAGTTGAAAAATGTATAAATGTATTTTGCGACAAATGTACGCTATTAAATGACGCGCAATATGACTTCCGAAGACAAAGAAGTACAATTTCACTACCATAAAATTTCTCCTATTTCCTATTCCCTTACAGTGTTCGCTCAGACATATTGTGCCGTTCTAGTGAAGTGCGGGGCATGGGAGTGCTTTTTGACTCCTCCTTGAGATTTGATAGCCATGTGGCTCGTATAAGTATCTGCGCCTTGCGCGCTCGGTGTTGTTTGTCGAACGACTAGAGTATTTAAAAACCCCGCAACGTTTGTAACCCTGTATCGCTTTTTGACAAGGTCTCAACTCGAACACGCATCTCCTGTATGGAGTGGTAGTTGTAAAACTACCCTCCTAAGGCTGGAGCGAGTGCAAAACAATTTTTCATCTATATATCGATATCGATATCTGCGCGATGAAACATCTCTATCAAAGAATAACAGTGTATTGGACGTCCTACATATGAACAGCTTATACCACCGTCGAGAAAAGGCAGATCTGGTTTTCATTTTCAAAGTCCTTCAGGGCATGGCCGACTGTTCATTTGCTTTATTTTCAGTGCAACACAAACAGCTATACGCCTTCTTAGTGGTGCACTACGTCGAAATAAAAGGAATTCGGATCTCAAGAACAAATGTTGACATGTCAGAACGAAAGGAAGATTTTGATGCACTTTCTAAATAGTTCTTCTAAGTTGGGTTCGAATTTGTTAAAAACCAGCTGCAGTCGGGTAATAGGGTCAGCGTTGTGTAAAATGGAAGGATAGAACAATGAGCGTATGCGAATAGACCGCTGAGGAACACGCAAATATATACTGTTCAGTAACACTGTGCAGTCAACAACACCATTAACAACTTTATGCAAGAACATGAAATCACGCGTCATTCGCCTATTACACAAGGGACGTAAGCCAATTTGTTTACATATTCTCTCATAGTCATAAAATACCTTGGACTGCAAGTAACGATCATAAAAGACACGTATAATTTTTCGTTGCACTCGCTCAATACTAGATGAGTTGGATTCTCCAATGCTGTTCCATACAACTGAAGAAAACTCAAGGCGGCTTAGCACAAGAGGGCGAAATAACATTAAAAAACACTGTGGATTTCTAAAATTTCTCGATATACGCGTTATGATACCAAAAACATTTAGAGACGAGTTTACAATATTCATGACCTGGTGATTAAACGAAATTTCAGTGTCTAAATATACACCCAAATCCCTAATCAGAGACACACGACTGATAACAGTTATGTCTAAAGCATAGCAATATTGCAAAATGTCACGTTTCCTGCTGAGAGAAATAATCTTTGTTTTCGATTCGTTCAATGCAAGGCCATTGGTCAAGCACCATAAAGAAATAGAGCATACGTCACGCTGAAGCAAAGCACAGCCCTCCACAGTATTTGTCCGTCGATACCAATTTATGTCGTCGGCAAATAACAACATTTTTGAGTATTTCACACAAGAAGTGAGGTCATTTACGAAAATTAAAAAGAGAAGAGGCCCAAGATTTCTTCCCTGTGGGACGCCCGACGTAGCCAAGAAAGGATTCGATAAGCAACTGGACACACGTAACAAAACGTAAGGGCGCAAACGAGCTGGTGTGCATTGCACATGGTTGAAAAAACCCCGAGACTGCGGGTAAACGACACAACACTAAAAAGTCTCTACTTTTTAGTGTTGTGTCCTTTACTTTTTAGTGTTGTGTCGTTTACCCGCAGTCTCGGGGTTTTTTCAAACACGTACCAAGTTGTCGCGTTAAGACAAATAACTCTCAAAAAGTTTGCAATACTTGGGGCATAAACCATACATATCTAACTTGGCCAATAAATGCCGGTGATTCACTTTGTCAAATGCCTTCATCATGTCAAAGTAGACCACATCAGCTTGCTCCTGGTTATGAACAATGGGAACAACATCATGCAGAAAAGAACACAAATTCGTCTCCACCGAACGACCCTTCAAAAATCCGTCCTGTTCGGGTACAATTTTCTGACGAAAATACGCAAATAGACCATTGCGTAATATTATTTCGAAAACTTTTGACAATGTGCAGAGCAGTGACACAGGTCGATAATTGTTCACTTTACTTCGGTCACCCGACTTAAACACTGGAATAACAAGAGAACTCTTTCACGTTGTCGGGAATACACCAGATTCTAGAGATAACACCCGGTTCCAGAGACTGCTCTCACAAATATCTTTACGAGTTCCTCGAACAGCGACCCGTTTGACAACGTCTTCTTACTCTCCTCGGACGTTAAGTATCCTGGACCCCATGTTTCGTATGTGTCGGGCATATAATGGCATTGGAAGTGATCTTGATATTTTTTGTGTGACTGAATTTGTCAAATCTCTCAGAGTCTTGTATGAGACTCGCCGAACCTGTCGAAATTGTGATGTTATTATATATTATTTTGATAAGGTATATATTCGTTTTTGTGGTAGTCTTCAACTCTGCGTTCAGACCCTGTGTTCCGTTCTTTTCTTGTTGTGTATCTCGTATTGTTGTGTCAGCGTGCGTTACATGTATCATATCTTTTACTCAATGATTTGAGCTTTTTATGTTTTTTTCTGTTTTTTCCCCCAATTTTTGTAGTGTGTAAGATTCGGTGTGCCAGTACCAAGACCACATGGTCGTTCCTGGACATCTAATGAAAATTATTCTTGATTCTTGAATATTATTATTTTTATTTAGGGAGTCCCTTAGGTATCTCTGATGTTCTCGTGGGATTCTGGAAAATTCGGCGTAGAACGTTTGGCGCGTAGAACATTCAGAACTCGATCAGACGAGAATGTTCTCGAACTTGCGAGAACGCCAAGTTGAAAGAATAAATACAGGAACTTTCCGCTGACTGGAATTGAACCTAGGCCTTCCGCGCGACAGTCAAGCGCGTCAACCATTCGGCCACGCACGCGCTCGCTTGGCGACGCGCGTGGCAGTATGAAGAATACATGAAAGAAAAATGCAGGATGGAATGACCAACAAAGTACCTACAGCGTGTTTTCATAAAGGTTTGGCGGACCATGTTCGTTGACCATTTTTAATTTTCTAGACTCAATGCCCATCAGAACAAAACCGGAATGAAGCAATCGTGAAGGTGCATGCTAGCTGGTGTAAATTGAGCATAGTTGTAAACCCGCGACCGGGGAGACGGAGGAGGGACAAAACACAGAACGACACGTACAAAGTCTCGAAAATCTGTTTTGTGAAAAAAAAAATTGTCGTCCTTGCGGAAAAAAATGAGAGGCACGCTCCAAGTGCAAATCGCTTTCTTAGAATTGCGCGCAGTTGGCTTTTCGGGCACATCTCCCCGTAAAATATGTTGTGGCTTCCGGTCTACAGATATTTACTCACAAACTACGTATGAGGCAGATTGACTCAAAATATTTATCACTAAGTGACGACGTGGTGAATGTCTAAAAAAAAAAATCACAAACATGGCACTTTCTGGAAAAATACTTACTCTTTATATTTTGTTTTCTCAGCATCTCTATATACTTGAACATTGAAACCTTCCCAGCGTGTTGTCCCGTGTATTTTTAATATTACCGCTAAATATGGTTGTTCTGGGCAGCAGTAATAATCAATGAGAAGCGCTCAAATGTGGTTATTTTAATAATTACGAATTAATTTTAAGCTTAATCTAAAAAAAAAATCTTCGATTTGTTTTATATGTTCCACATTAAGGCAAATGATAGGTGCTAACATAATCTGCACAAAACCTATTGCATCATTTTTTATATATTATAAGTTATAAAGCTAGAAATATGGCCAATTTGAGGCTACTGCTCCCGATACAGATAGATGACAATTTCGTTATTTTTATACAGTGTACAAATACTCGAGATTGGTCAGAAAAAAAACAAATATACGGCACAGAGGCGGACGGTGGTTTTAAAGTAAGATTGCTTATTGCGTTTTTTGTATGAGAGGCTAAGTAATTGCGTGGGGTATGGGTGACGTTCATTCGTAGGGTAGCGTTAATTCACACTTAGGGGAATACGAGAAGATGACAGCGAGGACATATCGACCCAATTTGAGACCGCTCAGTGCCGCGAACTGCCAACAGCACCGCTGTCCAAGGGTTAAAGTGACATTTTCTGCTACCACCTCGACACTATCCACTCGTGCCAAAAATAAATACTTGTGTGCCGCTGTTATGCACCAAGGGAGAAAGAACACCATAATAGGTGTACAGCGAAGCGACATTAGCTTTACTAAACCAAAGCATGGCATAAGTAAGGTCTTCCTCGAGCAGGCTCGACCTCGGATCGTTTGCCGATGTCCCCATCCCTGCGCTCTCGCGCTCAACCCTTGCACACCACAACCGCAAAGAGGTCTCGCTGGTTGAAAGGTTGGATGAATGGACAGGAAAGATCGCGGCGTGCTAGACGAGTTTTGAAAGAAGCTTGTTGATACAGACCCGTGGGAGCACCGAAACCTGCAGCGCGTCTGCCGTGAACAGTTCCTGCAGCTTCCTTCACGCGTAAAACCAATAATCTCGTAACGTAATCAACAAAACACAACTATACCCCATTTTTGCCACAACCTATTCATTTTCGCTTTGCTTCTCAGAACACTCCTGTGTTGTTGCCGCACCAAATGTTTCTCAATGCCCACCAAAGATCCCTCGAATAGCGCTCGACTATTTCTGTTTGCCCGTCCGCGGACTGAAATAATATTTGATTTCTGCTTCAGGGTGTTTCCACTTGAAATTGTGTGAAGTTGGCCCGGGTCATATTTTTTTCTGTTTATGAAAATATATAGGTGTAGTTTATGTTCTTAGAAGGAGCATTCTGCTATAAGCGAACGCCGTCGCTAATTATGTTCTAGATATATATATTTTTTTTAATTGTGTACGTAGTAATAATTTTTACTAGTTATTGCATGAATGGTTTACAGTATGCACAAATAATATTAAATAAAATAAAATATTTATATTCAAAATCATTAAAAAAACGTTACATAACCACGTTAAGAGATCAAATAACGCAAAATATACCAAAATAATCGCCTTAAAATTAATTTTACGAATAAAGAAAAGAATACGCTTAGATATTATTAGTTTTAGAATTATTATAGAAACCCAGCTCTTTTGTCTAAATGTGGCCAACTTGCACGTCAATATTTGAAAAATAAATTTATCTTATTATGAAAAAAAGAAACAGGACACGCGCCGAGCTCCTGACATTGTAAGAATTCGGCTATTGTGCCCATTGCTGCGATTGAACACGAGCCAATACCCGCATGCTCCTCGAGATATTAATTGTCCTTAGCTCAAATTGAGTCACGAATTGCTCGGGTTCAATCTATGAGCCGCACTAATTTAATTGGGGCACTTTCCCAAACACTGCGACCTCCGAGCTGCGCCATCAAATTTTGCGACGTAAAAATTTAAAACACAAAACGCTCGCTTTTATTTTTGAAATTACACCGCGACAAGTACCTTCATCATATACTGGGATTGCATGCGATAATACTTGGGTCCCACTAGCGCCAGTGAGCTCGTGTAAAGTGAAATACATTCTAACTGAATATAATTTCATCGTCCTTTTAAAATCTCTGTTCTTTTTTTTTTTTTTTTTTTACGCGTCTAGCAGTTTGTTTGTTCATGAATGCAATCCCAGTATCAAAAGCTGGTGAAGACAAAAAAAAAACTCCAAGTCATGTAAAATGACACTGCCAGTGTGGTACCGTGGTACAGGAATAAACTATTTATATTTAAAGCTTTCTTTAATGTCTGCATTGACCCTTTCTGAATTTAATCAAGACAGAAATATTATAATATTGTTAGTTTTTATGCAAGTCATTCATAAGCTCCTAGAGATACCTAATCATTGGCGAGGTCGGGATATGTTGTCACATTTATAATATATGGCATATTATTACACTGTCTTCAGGTATTGCATATCTTGCCGGTGTGTGCTTAGAAGGTAAAGTGGCACTTTTGGAAGATGATGGCTTGTCCCACTCAGGAGTTTATACCGCTGCTCATGAACTGGGCCACTTGTAAGTATAAACAAATTTTATATATGCGTGCGAAAACTCCAATAACATATATAATGTTAAATTATGGACCCCTTATGGCAAGGGGAGAATGTGTTGAAAGAATTACCTCCTTGTAATTATGCTTCTGCTAAAGAAACAATTTCATCAGGTGCCAAGCAGGGCATCGCAGTAGCCAGTAATTTTATGTCAAAATATTTCCTTCCTGGCATGCAGCCTTTCTCAAAGGGGAGACAAGAGCCTGTGAAGACACGCTGGCAAATAGCCACGTATACAAATATTGTCACGAGCCGAAATCAAATGCACACGCAGTGCTCGTCTTCATTTAAATGTTGTCCCAAAGACCTTTACACGGCATTTAATTAGTGTCGTCATTGCAGGAATCGCAAAGCTTGATGACGAAATTTTGAAAATAACATTGTTGACAACGTTAACAATGCAACCCCGATAGCATCGTCCTCAAGATTTCCGAGAGACTGAAAGACGTTCGTTTTAGAGCGCAGCTCTTAGGCGCCCGTTTCCGGCTTGAGCGGCGAAAACGTCGCCGTTGGCGTAACCAAGGTCACCCCAAGGTCACGTGACCCCCAGGTCACGTGACCCCCTAAAGTCACGTGACTCCCCTGAGGTCACATAACCCCCGAAGTCACGTGACCCCCCCACGATGACGATGATGTTGATGACGTCATCATCACTAATGACGTCATCGTCACTGATGATGTTACCGGCATCCGCACTGTCATCGTCATCACCACTGATGACGTCATCAGTGACGACACTGATGTCATCACCGGCATCCGCATCGTCATCGTCATCATCACTGATGACGTCACAGATGACGTCACCGACATCCGCATCGTCACCGTCATCATCACTGGTGACGTCATCGGTATCCGCATCGTCATCGTCCCTGATGACGTCATCAGTGACGTCACTGATGACATCATCGGCACTGTCATTGTCACGTGACCCCCAGGTCACGTGACCCCCCCTCCCTCCTGTCAGTTAACCCCCCCCCCCCCCAGTACCCTTCCCTCCTCCTCCTCAAGAGCTGCGCTCTAATTCGGCGTTACAGGGAGGTGTAAACGGCTTTCACTTTTTATCCTTGAAATTACGTAACGACAAATACTTTTTGTTCAGTCGCATTGGTTGCGTGCGAGTACAGTCTTATTCGTTTACTTGCGTCCCCAGTCACCTTGTGACATATCCGACACGGCGACAAAAAAGGCAGAAAACATTTCAACCTGCCAATAGTTCAAAAAATAGATGTGAGATAAAACGAGAATTGATGACGGCTACGCTCATATCGTGTGTGTGTATTGTATTGGCGTGGTGACGGGCAAACAATGGTTTCGCCCATACTGGAAGTGACACATTCAAGATGGTGGCACCCTTGTGGAAAACGTCTATACTTGGGTCTTACAAGTGTCACTATGTTTGTAAAGATTTAGAAGAATTCGTACCCAATATCGTTGCACGGCCCATTTAAAGACTACCCATCTAGTGTTTAGGCACCACTCAAAGTTCGACAAACCTTACACTTAGAGGGATGAGTATATGCACCAACTAATGTTTACAAACAAACCGGATCGCCCCTCGAGGCAAGCCACCGGCGCCGCGCATGCGCGATGGGCTATGGTTAACAAGCGCCGCGCTCCGCATCAACAAACCTTTGGAATGTGATGTTGTCGGCGTCAGTGTGAGAACTCATGCTCTTTTTTGCGTTGGAATTCTTGATTCTGCGCCTTCCTAGCAGTGTCTTACTATTTTAGTGGCCTGAGCGAATTTAACGAGGCGTGTCACACCGCACATTTCGGGTAAACAATGTGAAGTGCGGCAATTCATAACGCGTGAACGCCCAAGAATGAACGCCAAATTCTGATTCACATAGATGAGATTGCGTTCGCTATTTTCAGTCACGACGTTGCTCGGGCTGCAAACGCATGGACGGTAACTGCGATACTCGCCGGCGACACTAAAAACAGCCAGCAGAATTGGACCAAGTGAGTGAGGGACAGGTCGGTGGTGGGCCACTGGTAACTGTGATCAGCATATCTTGTATCTACTGTTTACGCTGAGCTTGCTTACCACACCGTGCTTACCACAAACAACCTTTATGCTTAAAAGCACTGTGGTGTTTACAGTTACTTTTTATCACAACGGTTGATCTATACTTGCCACTGTCGTTTGAACGAGCATACGACAGTTTAGAGGAACTTTAAATATCAAACACGTTTTGAACGATCAGAAGCCCGTTTGAGTGTGAAGACGCACTGAACGTGGTCAGCGGGTGGTCCAGATAACTTGACGCCTTTCCCGCGTTCGTGTTGGAACAAAGCAATTAAATCTGACGACAACTTTTCTCCGCGAATTCCCGCAACAGCAGTCTTTGAACGACGGGTCTGATTTTCCCTTCTCAGGGCAACTAAATATAGCCACGTTTTCGGACCGACCGAGCGGGCAGAGAACACGTAAAAACTGATCACACATTTCCCGGCTCTTTTGACACGGCCCAATTTGCGGAATTTTCACGAGAACGCAGGCTTTAGTACATTTCTTCTAAAATAGCACACCAATGCTCGTACAACATGGCGACTTCCGCCCGAAGCGCCACCACCGCGGTGTGACACAACAGAGTTGAGTTGGTGTGTAATAAACATTTTTCGGACGCTACACTAAAACTGTATTCAACGAAAAATCGGTGCTCTGCATAGCTGCTTCCGCACAATCTTATAGAGCGACTTTTGCGAGAGTGATCTCTTCATCTCTTACAAGAAGTTAGTGTTGAAGAAAACAGTAACGGGATGCGCTGGCTCGTTCATCTTTTTTTAGAGCGCAGCTCTTAGGGGCCCGTTTCCGGCTTGAGCGACGTCGGCGTCGGCGTCGCCGTCGGCGTAACCGCGAGGTCACGTGACCCCTGAAGTCACGTGACCCCCTAAGGTCGCGTGACCCCCCTCAGGTCCCGTGTCCCACTCAGGTCACTTGACCCGCCTCATATCACGTAACCCCCTGAGGCCACGTGACCCCCTCAGGCCACGTGACCCCACTGAGGCCACGTGACCCCCCGAGGTCACGTGACCCCCTTAGGTCACGTGACCCCCTGAAGTCACGTGACCCCCTAAGGCCACGTGACCCCCTAAGGCCACGTGACCTCCCTCAGGTCACGTGACCCCCTCAGGTCACGTGTCCTTCCTCAGGTCACTTGACCCGCCTCAGATCATGTAACCCCCTGAGGCCACGTGACCCCCTCAGGCCACGTGACCCCACTGAGGCCACGTGACCCCACTGAGGTCATGTGACCCCCTGAGGTCACGTGACCCCCTTGGGGACACGTGACCCCCTTGGGGACACGTGACCCCCGAGTTCACGTGACCCCCCTGAAGTCACGCGACCCCCGAGGTCACGTGACCCCCCTGACGTCACGCGAGCCCCCTTAGGTCACTTGACCTCAAAGAGTCACCTATGCCTCAGTACGCTTCCATCTTCCTCCTCAAGAGCTGCGCTCTAACCGGCGTTACAGGGAATTGTAAACGGCTTCCATTTTTTTTCTTCTTATTTTACTGTCCTTTACTTTCTTGCACATTATGCTGGTAGCGTATGAAAAGCTGAATATACTACTGCACTTCAAAAAGCGATCTACGCAGAAAAAATGAGCAAAAGACCCACTATTCGCATTGACCCATCGTAAAAATCTATTTTCAATGCGAAAGCGTTTACTGTCTCATGGCGCGAACCGACGTCATCAGCTTTTAAAGCCGTGCCAAACGGCACCTAAACTCCCCTGTCCCAAAGGGAGCGAAGACTGTCGTCTGTAGCAGAGATCTGATGGATAGGCTCCCATTGGCTGGCGTACGTCATAGTTTCAAGGAACGATGCTCACATTGGCTCTTGCAGCGTAGTTTCAAGGAACGCCACGAGAGAAGCCCTCTCCATGGCGGCGCAGCGCACGCAGCGGCCCGGCCACCGGTAAGGGGGAGCGTCTGGCCGCAGACCCTGCACGGGCAAACTCCGAAAAGGCTGCCCGGCCGAGCTCAGCGCGGCGCAGCCACTTCACGAGAGCGCGCGCTAGGCCGTCGGCCGCCACCTCGGCAGTAGCGAAACGTGGCCCTCCAAGCCCATACGCCGCAGACGAACTAAGGAAGCGGAAAAACGACATTCATGCTTTCGCATTCACAACTCATAAAAAGGGTTAAGGTTCCCCGGAATGTTTTTTTTTTTTTTTTTCAACTGTAGTTGTCATTTTTTTCACAAATCACCTGGATCCTGCGAATTAGCAGCTTAATTCACTTGGGTGCCTAGACGAGACATGGCAGTTTCCATTGGAATAATGCTGATGCGTATGCCAACAAAAGCGTTGGCCTTTCTTTGTGATACTTGCTGTCTACGTAGCAGCTATTATTTATAAAGTGGGAGTTCTTTTCTACAGTTTCTTTTCCTGAATTCGGTTACCGCACTAAGATTGGACATATCCAGCTTAGGGGGCAGTTTTTATTACAAAATAAAAAAGAGTTGCTGAAATTGACGCATCGGAAAACCTCTCTACGGCCCGTGACGTGTCATAGGCTACGTGACGTTATCAATGGCATCTCCGAGTCAGCTGAAATTCTTCAAAGGGCCACCTCACAGTGCGACGGCGTCAATTTCACTAGATGCCCCACCCTCCTCCCCTGTACACCGCGGGTAATAGGAGACAAGGCTACAGCCAAGTTTTAATCAATGATTACGTTGCACCCATAACCACACTACATAATTTAAATATATTATTTTTATGTTGCCTACTTCAAAACCCTCAGACGTTTTTCTATATATGAAACCGCGTCCCGCATAGAAAGAGAAGAAAAACTTACATTCATCTGTTTTACATGCTTCTTTTCATGTTTAGGAGGGAACTAAAAGAGTAATATCAGAAGCCTACAACTCACACATACTCGTAATGTGTATAAGCTCAATTTTAATTAATAAAATCGGTTAATCGTCGGAAGCCAGTTTATGAAAAGGTACTTTTTAATATTTTGTTCGGGATTGTTTCGACGTCACTATGTTTTTGACGACCAGGATAACATAGAATCTACTGTGCGCTAATTATTAGGGTGTATACAAAATACCTATTTTAACCTGCAGGCTTGGATGCCCACATGACGGGGGACAAGCGCCTCCCAGTCTCCCAAACTCTCCTGGGGCGGCATCATGTTCGGACAGCGATGGATTTTTAATGACCTCAGCCATTACGGACACGAGCAATAAAAATATCTACCAGCTATCATCATGCTCCAAAGAACAGATACGCTATGTTGCGGAGTAAGTAACTCACGGCCAAGAATAATGTTGGAATTTCTCTCAATCCTTCCAAGTAGAACGGTGGTCTTTTTATTTTATCTTATCTGCATCTATTATAACGCTGAAATCAGATAATTATATATACATTGCAAACATAGCTGGTGGGTTAGATGTTTCGAGGATTATTTCAGAAATTAACCTGACGAAGGTAGAAAGTTGGGCGAGTTGGTGATTCATAATAATAAAAAAGCGCAACAGGACAACGGACACAGAAGAAGACACAGACTGTGTCTTCTTCTGTGTCCGTTGTCCTGTTGCGCTTTTTAATTATTATTCAGAAATTAGTTTGTTCCCCCAACACCTTCCTCAAAAGCCAGCAGTCTTGCCTTGGGTCCAAGGCAAGACAGTCGGCCCCTCACCCTAAGTTAACGCGGGAAGAACGGGTAGCTTATTCGCGTCTCCAGCTCGACGCTCGCCCTCCCGCGGCGGAAACGGGAAGCGCTCTAGTGAGGGTCCCCCGATTCTCCTGCTCAGCGGGCACGGCGGAACTGCTCGCGATCATGGCTCGCAAATTGTCATTTCCGAATACGAACAACACTCTTCAGTGTCCCAACGTAGTGCTGCAGTCGGTATGGGATTGTATCTTACTACAGAGTTTTAGTATTGTGCATAGAAGCAAACAAAAGCGTTGCGCTTTTTTCGTTAGAGTTGCGTGCCCTACGTTGTGCGTGCGCCTCATTCCATGCGCCAATTTAAGACCCCAATTCTTGGCTCCGGGCACGCGCTAACGCAAACACACAGCGTTTGCGTTCGCTCGTATACGCAATACTAAAACTCACTACTGTTTCACCGGCTTCCAACGCCAACGAAGCGTGCTGCAGTGAGCAGACGTGCAAGCAGTTAGGCGTTCCTTCGAACTGGAAATGCTGAGATTGGCAAAACGGCGGAGCGTAGAAATTAAAGTGACTACATGTTATAAAAATATTGGCAATTAAAACAAAATTATTTTAATTTTAATTTCTTTTTAATTTTTGGGCATTTGGTTTGGAAGGATATTGGCGGCGACATTGTAACTCTTGCCGATTGTCAAAAGTCGCGACTTTGATAGTAAAATATGCGTTACCCACATTAATGTAATTTTACATGGATTTCTCACATTAGCTAGAATGTTTTCATGATTTTAGACTATTTTTATTTTATTACTTGGCAATTAAAAATGCTGCATTTGGCACCAGTGATGATAATTAGCACACTTGATTGTCATACTTCTTCGTGCATTTAAAATTAGATCATAAGCAAAAAAATTATATTAGAGTTTGAAAAATTGCGTATTAAAATATATGAATTTTAATACTATTATTATTAATACAAATCACGGCGATGTATGCTTCAATTAACGCCAAGATCGCAAAAATACGCAATTTAATCATAATAGCCTTTCCAAAAAGGTATCATTTTTGTTTTTCTTTTTAGCATGTGAAAAACTCTGACATCGTTATCAAGATAGACAAACAGTCCGGAAGCAATATAAAGTGCTATGCGTCACGCGTTGCTCTAAAAAACACACACACTTCAGCTGTCTGACTCGGATTCCGTCTTTGGGTTGTTGTAGTGAGAACAGCGTTTATTAATTTATACGTTTTGTGGACGTATTGTAAAAACTGGATTTATTCTGTTATTCTTGTGCTCGAATAATGTTAAAGCAATTAATCATCTAAATACCCAAAAACCATTAAAAAGCCCGCAGTTCATTATCTCATATGACAATTATCTGAGCGAGAAAAGGCGGCGAGAACGCACAAATATCAGCACTGATTTTTTTCAACAACTACAATATTCTACGTTACCTCTATAGGTGTATGAAAGACCCTTAGTTTAAAGGTGTACTGAAATCTACAAAATAGATTGAAGTGCCTGAATCGAACATGTATGTCACAAAATAAAGTTTCCGTGAACAACTTCGTAAACTAAATAATTACGATGTGAGACACATCTTGAGTTATGAAAGAAGTCGAAATTGACACCTATATCGAAAAATTAAATCCACAATAAAGGTTAGTTTCGGTTTCGCTCCAGAATTAAAACCTGCCTCCTGGAGTAAGTATTACGCTAAACACCGTTTTTGTTTGCAGGATAAAGAGATGATCCGCGCTTATAACACCCCGGCTTCCTTGTATTGCCAGAAATAATTTGTCACTCAGTGAAGCCAGCACACTAGACAGGCTCAGCAGCCGGCACGCATCTCCGACCCACACTATAACCGCCATTTTGGAAAACGAGTAGCGCTACCTATAGTTAGTTGGAATCGCGATATGGCAAATTCAGTTGGGGTCCTTCCCCCACCCCCTTTCACTCAGTCGCAAGTTCCCCACTCAACAAGGCGAGAACTGCCCAGTGTGCCAAGAGGAACCCTCCGTCATATGGTAGGCGAGTGTAGATCCAATCAAGAACACCCACCACCCCTATACCCCACCACCCTCGCCCTTTCCGCTGTAGAACTTGCTGTCCAGCCCCGCCGTGGAAGATCAGCTTGGGTTGGTCACCAGGGGCCAGGCCGCTAAGGCACCGTATGAGATTTCGTGAAGAGGGAACTACTTTTATCCGGCACGGGCCACCGTGCTGAAATGCTCAGAAGTGTATATATATATATATACATATATATATATATATATATACCGGGTGTCCATTTTTAATTTGAACATATTTATTTTAAAAAAGCCGTGAAAGTTACACTTAAGGCCTGTTCACACATGCAGCGGAGCGCTACAAGCATAGCGCTTACCTCGCGCTAAGCGCGTGCTGAGGGGAGCGTTCATCAGCTTTGTATCGCAACGTCAAAACTGTTGCTCATGGCAGACGATAAGTAGCTGACGGCACGTGAGAAGCGCTACATGAGCGCTTCGCTGCATGTGAGAACCGGCCTTTATGCTGCTTGTGGAGGTGAGTTATACGGCCAGGGGACACATTATAGGGGGCTAATCCTAACGATCAGTTGGCTAGCTAACTAAACTTCGATAATGAACTTTTTAAATAATGAAAATAGACACATGGTTCCAATTAGAAACTTTCTCAGTGTCGCCGAAAACCACAAAATCAGTCATTTTCAGAAAGACTTTGAGCGCGTGAGACGAGTAGTAGCGCACTAAAGTTACCACTCGTGGAGCCGGTACAAAGCTAGCGGTTGCGGTAAGGAGCCCGCGCGATGTTTCCGTCTCTTATCTAGCCCCAGCCTTGCACCTGCTCCACGAGTCGTAACTTTAGTGCACTACTACGCTTCTCACGCGCTCAAAGTCTTTCTGAAAATTACTGATTTTGTGGTTTTCGATGACGCTGTGCAAGATTCTAATTGGAACCATGTATCTATTTTCATTAACTAAAAAGGTGATTAACTAATTTTAATTAATCATCCAACTGATCGTTACGATTAGCCCCATATAATATGTCCCCTTGGCCGTATAACTCACCTGCAAAAACCGTATCAGTGCATCTTTTACGGATTTTTTAAAATAAATCTGTTCGGATTAAAAATGAACACCCGGTATATATATATATATATATATATATATATATATATATATATATATATATATATATATATATATATATATATATATATATATTGTTAAGATGTTGGAAAACGATGATTTAAAGGAGCTATGCAACAATTTTTGTACTTTGCGCAAATACCGCTTAAAAGGGATCCCTAACGTTAATGACCTATGAAACACGCGTTCGTTTTTCACCCCACGCAATAGAAGTCCCAGAAAAAAATTAAAGAAAAACGAGCAGCGTTCACCCCCTCAACTCGCAGCCAGAACAAGCGGCCACGTGATCTGGAGCCGATTATATGCCGCCAGTGTTGATCATAGCCGCGCGCTGGGGTTGGCAAAGCGCAGGACACGCGCTGAGTTCCAGACATTGTTATGGCTCGGCTATTGTCGTCGTTGCAGCGATTGGACACGGGTCACAGCCCGAATGCTTCTCGAGCTAGCAATTGTCACAAGCCCAAGTCGGGTGCCCACGCAATGCTCGGGTCCAATCTATGAAACGCATTCAAATATCGTCACTTGGGTGTGCTGCGATCCCCGAGTTACGTCATGAAATTTTGCAAAGGAGAGATTGAATGAAAATGATCGATTTTGCCCTTGAAATTACACCGCAACAAAGGAGTTTCTTGGCCAATGGCGTTGCGTGCGAGTATCCTTGAGTCCCACTAGTGCCAGTAAGCTCGTGTAGAGAGAAAAACATTCCAATTGAATATCGTTGCACAGCTCCTTTAATGCTGGATGAGATTTACAATGCGGTTTGTAAATCGGCGGTTGGGGTCAGCACGCTCAAAATCCTCGAGCCCTCTCGTTCGCTTTTTGCTGCACGAGCCCGTCGTCCTCTTCTTTTCCTAACAGTAGCCCCCCGGTGGATGGAGACGCCGGTCCTCCGGCGGCTGTTAACGGAGGATGGTGGTGGTGTTTAGGTGTCCGGGCGGCGATAGGGGCGGATTCTGGCGACGTGGACAATGTCCGATGCGCGGGATCGGCGATCGCGAGGTGGCGATACAGGGGCAACCTCGTAGTTGGTAGCGGAAAGTTGACGGGTGATACGAAAAGGGCCGATAAACTTGCTTTGAAGCTTTTCGCATTTCCCGAGGGCACGTGAAGGAGACCAGATAAGAACCTCGTCTCCGATGTTGTAGGTCGCTGGGCGGTGGGATGCATTGTAGCGCAGCTCTTGCTGCTGCTGGGATTGGGACGTGTGGATACGAGCGAGCTGGCGGGCATCTTCGGCGTGGGAGACGATATGGGCCGGATAGGAGCCCTGGGCCCGTTCGTCCACGTAGGGCAGAACTGTGTCCAGTGTCGTGAAAGGTTCTCTGGCGTAAAGAAGATGGTATGGTGAGAAACCAGTTGTTGATTGGCGGCGTCCCAAGTAGTTTGATTGTCGGTGACATACATCGAAATCATATCAGATAAAGTATGATTGAGGCGCTCGGTTAGGCCATTCGTTTGCGGATGGTAGGCGGTTGT